GTGACTCAGAAACAAATATAATGAGTTCAGAGAGCATTAATATAGTAATATGATCACTTGCTCATGAAATCATTGCATACTTACTACATATCTGCCCGAATTTTTCACTTCCACTTTGAAATCGTTGTATGGTAGATTTACACTAGACCCGTTTACGCGAACATTATTACCCTGGAGTAATTCATATTCCTAACAATATAAAAGACGATACACGTGTTTCATTTTATCAATGATGACGTTCAAGTAGATGGGCTGTAAATAAATCTACGCCAGGCAAGAGAATAACATCAGAATAACATTAGAGTATGGACTGGTTTACGCAATAAATGCTATGAAAAGTAGTGATAAATAAAGGGCATTGTCGAGTTATGTGTACTAGAAGTAAATAGCAACTCACCACATCTTCAACTATGACATAAACTTCTCTGGTATAACTGACGCTGTCACTTGGCTTGATTTTCTGGTTGTTTGCAATAACACTGTAAACAGGTAGAAATTGAATATCTCCGCATGCAGAAGTGGACAACGTATATTCACATTCTCCCTGGAAGTCATATGTCCTACCATCAAATGTGCTATAATGTGGATCACCATATATTACGCACTCTGAATATGCTAAAAATAGTTAAGGATAACAATTGATGAGATATGACGATGTAAATAATAAAAGAGAAAAACTGCGTCATTAAATGCTATAATGACATTCAAACAATCGCGTTCAGATATTAAAATGCTTCAAATTAACAACACTCATTTATAACAGCTTAGTTATACGACTACAGTCCCACTTACATTTCCATTTCTGTTCTACATTTATTAAGTCCAAGGTACTGATTATGAGTGTTGCTCACTTGTTATTATCATATGTAACTACAAAAAACCTATCGAAACTTACATTTCAAACAGCTCTCAATACCATCACCATCGTAGCCATCAGTACAATGACAACCATAATTGAAATCACTGTCCAACCCACAGTAAGCATTCCCGTGGCATTGTATTCGTTCACATTCAGTAATCCCATCTACAGTACACCTACACATACGTTTACAGTCATGTGTCATGAAGGTAGTATCACGCTATGTAGAAATAATGCAATCAAAAAGGGATTAGTATGAAAATCACATAACCATGTACAGGTGGTTCCACTTAATATTGAAATACAACTTCAGCAAACGGGAATAGCCTATGCGGATTATGTACGTAATACCATTGAAATGCAGTGTAATCTTGAGAGAATTGATCAAAGTAGATTTTTACCTGAAATACAAGGCCAGCATATCTGCATCCACAGTCCCGCGGTGACACGCACTTCTCACCATCAAATAACTTGCCATCTTCACATTCACACCCTTCTACCTCATTCTCCATACACTGACTGCTCGCCGTCGGGTTCACGCACGTATTTGGGCAGGCACTTGTTAGCATTTCATAAACTGCTCCTTCCGGACAACTGAGGGCTGCGAATTGAATGATTGAAGTAAATTAAATTGAACTGAGTATACATAATGGTTCCCATGCAGCACTACA